ACGAATAGGAACAGATATGACTGGTGCTGAGGGAGTGTTCGCGACTTTATCCCAGCTTCCAATCCTCCTACGAATTTCCCGGACTACAAAGTGATGGGTTGCTGGATATAGTTCATACAAGAGAGGAAAGCCGGTGCTTCATAATGCACCACTGTTGCCGCTTATAAGAAACCGCTGAAAAAAACCCAGGCTGGAGTTTCTCAAGTAACTTTGCGTGCCGCCGTCGATGAGTAGCCGAAAATCTTTGAGCTATAATTAGTACAGCAGACGGTTATACAAGACGACCATGTGTTCATTTTGTAGATGTGATGCATAGTAAACAGCTCTCATAAAATCATCAAGTATCAATACGAACTGGGGTTTTTGTAGCCCGATTCTTTTGTTACCATATTTATGGCGCACCCTGTATATACAACAAAGACTGCCCTTCCTTCGCCGGATCCCGGTCCCTCGAATAAATCTTTTGGAAAAAACGAAAGAAAGAGGCTACAGCTATTTGGACAGTTGTATCAATCAGGACGCTGATTTGCCATATGAACAACAAGTAGGGCAAAATAAAATAGTCCGAATTCTGCAAATTGCTAACATAATACAATCGTGTTACAGCTCCTTCCTTCCCCAATTCAAGGATGACATCATAGAGAAACTGGCAGCTCCTATGGGATCATTAGACTGTCCAAGACAAACCTAATTCATCGCTTCCCAAGCTTTGTCTTGGGACCTGTTTTGTTTTTCATTGGACCCATTTATCGTATCGAAAACTACTATAGAAGGATAAAGGATAAAGACTTTTGGTGTTAATCAATCCCGTCCCTGGGATGCGCCGCGCATTCGACGTCCATTCGAAATCGTAGTGGCGTTTAAATGCGTGTGTGGCCTATACAATGACAGGTGGTGGCCGATCGATGTATAAGTCTGTGATTTATCCCCCTTAACGAGTCTGTTACCTTGGGAGGGATGGAAAGCTGACCGATTCCGGAGGAACGGAAGGCTTGCCTGGCCGGGCGAGTATCGATCCGGGATTCGATCACCGGACCATGAGCGTGATAGCTCACGCTTGGCGCTACACCCCTTCGCCCCTAGTGTCCCTATATGTTAAATTGAAGCTTTTTCGCTTTTTTTTATTTGCGCTTGAGGGATATTTCGGGGTTTGATCTTAATTATCCCAATAAAATCAATGGATCGTTATTTACTTGTTTTTGTTTTGCTACCGATGGCCACTTCGAGGGCGTAATATTAAGTTTGGGTAAACAAATAAATATGAGGGATTCAAACTGATTGGTTCTTCCCCTATGTATTGAGGGGTAGATCGAGGAGAAATAGTTGCAACTGCTAGTTTTGCATGCTTGAAAAGAGCTTTTGAGAGATCGAATTTCGTAAGTGGCTTGCATGCCGAACAACAACTGTTCCAACTGCTCTGCAAGGCTGGTTAAAAACCGAGTGTGAAGCTTGCAGATAGTCATTTTCCATCGTAATGAGCCGTGCATACATTTTGGGTTCAAAAACGTTCCTAAATGGCAACGTATGCCTTAAATAGGCTTTCCAAGTCCAGTCATTACTTGAATCCAAATTCCTAGCCTCGAAGGGTTCGTGAGATCACTTCAAGAAGGGCAATTCCAAAGTGATGAATGGCTGGGAGGGATATGGGTGAGGAAAACGATGGGATTCAATCTCATGAATACCACGTGAAATGTGCAGAGCATTCAATCACTGGGCTATAAATCTGTCAAACATTTCGACTTGGGAGAACGGCATGGAACATTCGGGAGGGAATTATTCGGGAGTGAATCGGATGTTTAATTAACTGGTTAACCAACTAGTTGAGTAACTTACCCTCGTTTGCTCCAAATTTCGACCAAAACCATAGATTAAAAGTACAATCGGTGTTCTTGAAAAATAACGCAACCAATATAACTGTACAGACAAGAAGTACAAATAACATCTGAAGCAAAATAATTTTTAAAAATTGGTTAAAAATAAGGAGAAGAAAAATGAAAATAGCAAAACGACAATTAAAAAAAACGGCGTAGCAGAGACAAAAGAATGAATTTGATCGATATTTGTAGAGAACGGGGAACGGCAAGGGGGCGTCCGAAACTTGGAAGAAAAACAAATGGAACATCATAAAAACATGCTATCTATGGAATCTGACCAGTTTCAGTTAACCCATAGAAAATGAATGAGGAAAAAAAGAAAAAAAAAAGATTGGGATAAAAAAAAGACTGAAATAACAGGGTGTGCCTTAAGAATGAGACGAAAAAGAAGTGAGAGGTCGGAGTCAAACAGAAAATCAGTAAAGCAGGGTCTTAAGAATTTCCGTTAGATAATAGAAATAATAATAATAATAATAATAATAATGATAATAATAATAATAATTTTTTGTTGGAAGAAAGTAGAAATGAAAATAGCGAGGTTCGAATGGAAAGAATTTTGGTGGTCACGAATAAATCGCTCAATCAATCAATTTTGGGATGCGCCGCACACTTGACCTCCATTCAGAATCGTAGGTGCTTTTCGAAGGCGTATGTGGCCTATACAATGAATTGCGGTGGGTAGCCGACGCACAGGTCAGTCATTTATCCTCCCAGAAGAGTCTGGTTCCATTAACCGATCCCAGAAAGGTGGGTGGCTTGGATGGGTGACTGCCGAGCGGGGATTCGATTCCCGAATGATGCTTATCGAGTAGTGCTCCAGTTATCACTACACCCTTCGTCCCTCCAAAGTATGTATAATGTGAAAAATACCTAAAAAACCCGCCCGTGCGCCTAAAACACAAGAATGGGAGGGGTTCAGAAGTTTTTTGGTATACGCCGTGATTGATCATCTATCTTCGAGGTCGTCTAGGTGATTGACTGATTACCACTGCATCACAAGGCTTGTCAATGCTCCAGAACGGAACGGACTTCGATGATCTGACAATCAAAGACCAATTGGGCACAAATTAGCTTGCCCTAGGGAGGGATTTGCTTGATTGATGTCAGCGATTTGAACTAATCAACTAATCATGCAGAAATCCGAGGCTATCGCGCTCTATGCCACTGCAGCACCCTCATTTTGAAATTCGGTCAAAAAAAAAAAACAACAAAAATATGAAAATAACAGGAGATGCTACTGGTAAAAGTCGAGTAAAACTTCCGAGAGGAAAGCTTTGAAGTGATTCATCGTCCGGGAGAGGCGTTGTCGTAGAAAAGGTGGAATTAAGAACAACAGGAACAATGGAACTGCTGATCACATTCCTATGAGTCATAACTATCGATTTATTGATTCCATGATTCAGCAGAAAAATCGATAACCGCCTCAGAACAGCCAGTCCAGCCGACTTTAACGATGGCTTCTTCCGGTTGCGACGAAGCAACACAAAGCATAATAAGGTTTCCAACTGCTGAAGGGATTACGAAGAGATTACGCTATGAGGCTTGGACAAAGAAATGTCTACACTTATTGATTTATTGATCGAGACGGTATTCAAAAATAGTGTAAACAACCGTTTACTGATCAGAATTTCCGAAAAAAAACCTTTGAACACAAAAATAAAACGCTATTTAGAAGGGTGAGAATGAATAATAGTAAAAAGTATCAATAAAAAGGCGAGGGGAAAAAGGAGCTCGAAGGGCTACCATCACGAAAGGATCGGTCCAGCCCAGTCGATATATCAGAAGTCTCAAGAGAGCAATTGTTGAAGGGCGTTCTCATGGAATTCGAATGGCACATGATGTATAAGAGGGCGGAGCCGGACGTGGATTAGAACACATATGTATTGAGCTTCCTCAGAGGGACTTTGAACAAACCCTAAAGCTAGGGTTTCATGTACCTACCCCTGATGGGTAAGGCTTTAATCCCAGGTAATCCGCCACTAGAAGGCCCAGTAACAAGGGGGAATGTAGTGGGAGATAGGTGTTGAGTGAACACACAGGTAGTCCTGAGGGATATACATGAAATTTGAGAGTAGGTTTTGAAGGTCTAGCCTATGATGATTGAAGAACGAGTTGTGTAACATTCCTAGGTATACAACTCAGGCGTTAAACAATCGATATGTGGGGATGTGGGTGGGTGCCAGACGAAGTCTGCTAGTGCTTCACCCACTCTGAAAGGAAAGCAAAATACGACGCAAAGAGAAAACAACTCGTCGTTGACATCTCTTCGAAACGAATTCAAGCTTTTTTAGTCTCGCTGATTCGTTTTTGCAGCCACAAGTAAGAAAGATTGATCTGATCGATCACTTTAGTCGATTGATGGCTGCACAAATAAGCTTCCGTGAGCGAACTCTGGGGGGAGATGTATCAAAAATTCTGAAAATTTAAATTGAACTCAAGTTAACTTACATTTGGGTGATGGAAAATCAAGGTCCAATGATGTTGAAAGTTCCAAGGCAACGAGCATGGCAATTTTCGGCTGCAACCGCCGTCTTTATGTAGCGATCTCACGGCCCTGCTATGCATCAGCAGCGTGGCGCAGTGGAAGCGTGCTGGGCCCATAACCCAGAGGTCGGTGGATCGAAACCACTCGCTGCTAATGTTTTTGCATTTTCATTTATATATTGGAAATCATGCTACTTTAGGTTTTGAAATGAAAATATTTGTAGCAGAAGCAACCAGCTGCTATGTTACACTGCAAAATTCCTTTGAAAAACCGTAGTCTGCAACAGTGTGGAGTTGGACTGGTAGCTAATAATGGTGATAAAAATAGTCAAAATAATGGTTACTGTAATAGTAACAATAGCGAGCAAAGCTAGTAAACCCATTCATAGTAGTAATACTGATAACAACAAGGAAAATGAAAAAGAACCCTAAAATCTGATAGATAAAAGCATTTTTTCCGGAATAGGAAGGGAGAACGCGCCCACGCCGCCCTTTACAGTCTAAAAATTTTCGATCTCCTTTCCGAGGATCCGGGAAGATCCTCGGAAAGGAGATCGAAAATATCACAAGATCGGGGGGGG